CCCCCCCCCCCCCCCCGTGTCCTTGGGAGAGAGATCTGTGAATGGTGATCATCACTAAACTCTCAAGAGGTTGTCACTTATATCTTGTTATGACTCACGATTACAATCTAGATTCAGCCGAGGATGTCTTGAGGATGTCTTGAGGATGGAGACGATCGCTTCACTGACTCATAACTTCACAGATGCTATTGAGGCTTATTTACAGATGCTTGACATCTCCTGGAAAATGTTTCCATGTGCATAATGCTAACTGTGACACAACTATCTGAGTCTGAAGACCAGCTGCTATAATCAAACAACAAAGTGATCTGTATCTTCCAGTATGGATCATCAATGAATAAAGTCAAGAATAAAGTCTTAATTGTTTGACGTTGTAATCCATTTTAAAGGGTGTCGGCTGAATTTAGTTTAATCAATTATAACCGTATTTGTCATTCTGACAGAGTTTTGTTTTTAAACCCTTTATTACGCCTCCAAGTTAATGTTTCAAAGACTTGGGCCATGTTTCATAAAATGGAGCGATTCAGAATGTAAAAATGAATGAATATATTAACTCTTATTGTCACGCAATCCATTTCCGAGTCCAGAGCTCATTTCATCACATTTAGAGAGGCTGTGTGGTGTGGGTTATGAAACTCGTTTGCTTCATATGACACATGTTCTAATGCGCTGCTGTAGGCTGAGCAGTTAGTCATTTCACAACAGAGACTTGTGCTTGGGGATGTTTGCTTTGATAGTGATGCTGCGTAGGACTTTCTATGCAGCAGCTAACGGTACAGGTGGGACTGACGACATCGGTCCTATTTCGCTCCGTAAACAACATCTTATGATCTTAGTTGTTGCTCAGTAAGTGACCTTTATCGTGTTGGAGGTTCCTCAGCATAAATAAGCATCGTCTTGTCGGTCAACTCTCCTTACTCTAGTCACGTGATGGCACCGATGACAAGCATTAAGAATAACTATAAAGAAATCTCATTTACTTATGCAGGTCATATAGAGGCATCAGAATTCAATTGTATAACCAGTTAAATGTTCCTCACGATAACTTTAACAGCATAAGATACAACACACACATATTTATTTGATATTCCTTGTTGGCTTTACAGCATCCACGGTTACTCTCCAGTGTAAAAGCGCTAACTTTGACACATGAAATAGTGGCGTTATGAGACAATAAATGACATCTTGTTTTGTGCCCTCTCACACCCTGAACACAAGTAATTATCACCAGATTCACACCGTGCCTCAGGCTTTGAGTTTCAGGCTGTAATTCTAATTGTGAATTACATTTGATAAGGATTGGACAGTGTTGACATGTGAAATCACTCATTAGAGTATATAATTGACTTTGAACAGCTGTGACTGGTTTTGCACTAGACTCTGTGATGCAGAGGAGTCAACCCTTAGCAGTGCTGTTTGCCTTCATGTCCCCCCCCCCCCCCGAGGCTGGGTGAGCTTAGTGGAGCAAACAAAACTATAAAAGTGACTTATGGGGTGTTTTAAGAGGGCCTCCTGTTCTTCTCTATCTCAGTGCCGTTAACCTATGAACACCAGATAATAAAAACGGATGTAGAGCTCAATAACATTGTTTCAGCTACGACTTCACAGCTCAACAAGTCGATGGAACGCGTCTATAAAACTTCAACATTGTTAATTTGACACTTTTCTTGTTTTTTTTTTTTAAACGTTTTTGTGTCACTTTCTACTTATTCTACACCAGATTTTTAACAGCTTTAGTAACAGGCTACTTTAAGTTAAGAATCTACAATAACTTATGAAGCACTGTAAGAGATTAAAATACCCATAAAATCAAGTTAGCTTCCCCTCACCCAACATGCCACAACAGTAAAATGCAACTTACACATTGACGCATCACCAATAGTGATCAAAGACTCTAATATATAACAGTATAACAGTCACATGCACCATTTTTCTGCATTGAGACCTTTAAGAGTTGATATTTTGTGTAATGTAAGTACACTTTGCTAACACTTGTACCTGGGCTCTATCACCCCACGGCTGAGTCCATCCATCTATATAGCCTTTTAAAAAATAACACTCTAAATGTGTGACCTGTTTTTAAGGATGTCATTTCTTCAGCTCTGCAGTAACAAATAGACTTTAGGCGAGATGCGCAGTTGAAAAGTTAAGAGAGACGGACTAACTTATTAAATCACATGGCTGTTATTCAATGTAAACAGCACTGTGTGATGAACACAATGATTTCCATCCGCTGTACATTAAAGGGCACTGCGTATAAAAACGGATACAGAAAACCAGGGTTTTTGACGAAAAAGCTTTTCACACTTCTTTGTACCCGAGCTGTTTGGCAGGACAGCCGGCCGGCTTTCTGCTCAGACAGAGAATTGTGAGCTCAGCTGTGAGAGAGTGAGTGAACGGCGACCGAGGTCCTCTCCATCATTATGTGTGAGTTGCTGCACTGTGATGCTGTGATGTATGATTGGCTGAAGTCAACAGATGGGATAATTCATCACACACACGAAATGTAGATTTAGGTGTCATAATACTTTGATGGCTGCTCAACAAACTCGATGGCATTACATCAAATACAAGTGATGAATTATAAGCAAACATCGGCCAATGTTAGAATGTTAAGATACTAACTTTGGGTTCAGTGCTTTATCAACGTTTTAAATGGAAGAGCTCATTTTTATTATGTATCATTGTCCCACATGAAGCTCTGTGGATTATTTTGATAAAATCGTGATTTAATAATCTATATGCTGCTGTGAAAGTTGAAGACAAACCAAGAGTGCTTTTATGTATTCGTGGTTCAAAGAGTGAAAGACTTTGCAATGTGCTTTCAAAGGTGAACACTTGAATTTGGATTTAACTTTTTCTTTTTGAAGGGCTCAGCCACCAAATAGCTCTTTTGAGATGATGGCCGGCCCATATTTCCCCCACTGCCAGGGTCTGATGTCTGGCAGAAAATTGAAGGCAGCCAGGTGTGGCAGTGTCACAGAACTCTGAGGCCTTTCATCTTTCACAAAATTTGCCAGGATTGATGATGACATGAGAAAACCTCATCTGCTTTTGAGGGAAGTGTATTGAGGAGAAGAGAGGAGTGTTTACTCTCAAACAAGTGTGTCATTTTCAACAAGTGTTTCTCGAGATTGAAAAAAACACTTAATTTGCTAATTGCTCAGACTGGACCTCTTGATTTGTGATAAAATGTGCATTTAAAAGTTTAACATCTAATAATGCATGCCATCCAATGCATATATCCACATTTATGGGTTCTTTAATATAAACGTAGACTATATTGTGTTTTTTTTTGTGTACTCAAACAAAAACGGGAAAAGAAAACGCCCCTTTTTTGCTGTTCATAGTTACCGCGTAGGATCTTTTTAGCTCAGAAATAAACCAAGCGAGTCGTTCAAAGTCAAATTAAACCAACTTACATTTTTAAGAAATGCTCTCTCACTGCTGACTTTTCAAACAAAGTGCATGCTGGAGAGTTTTTCAAAGCCATAAAATCTCAGCACAATTATTGTTGAGTCATTGCTATCGATCACAAACTGCTGAGCCACTGTTTGTTTTCTGACTCCCCAAAACCGCAGTGTTTAATGTGCAGCCAAACATTTTATTTACCCTGTCCTTACCAAACCTATAACTCCTGAGAGGGACATGGGGAGAACAGCACACTTAATCTACTTCATCTTTCTTTGGCTTTGAGAAGAAAACCATTTAGCTTTGGTTATAAATTGTGCAACATTTAGCACAGTTTGAACATAAAGTGAGTAAAGTTTTCTCTTTGACAGTGAGTACAACTTTGCCTCAAGATAAAATACACAGATTGGTGACAAATATACGTTCCTTCTGTTTTCTATCAGCGGCTTTACAGTTTATTCTCCTTATTCAAACAATTAAACAGACCGCGACATTGTTTTTCTTTTTCTGGGGATATAAATCTCTGGTGGCCCCAAACAGTAGTTGGAACAACAGCAGATGGACCCGTAACACGTTACTAATCACTTTTGGATGTGCACAGCATAAAAAGTGGGAGGAAAACAACAAGAGTTTGGTGTGGGGAATTCAGTTTCACCTCAGTCCTGCCCACAGGGGCCCAGGAGAATATTAGATTATGAGGCGGCCAGATCCAACATCAAACCTGTTGTGCCGAAAGGTCACAAACACTCTGAAACAGGCATGGCCACTGCCCATTAGAGGGACTGAACCCTCGTCTTTTCCCCCATCATGGCATCCTGATTGATTTCGAAGACCAAACTCACATTGCTGAGAGTATGATATATGAAAGTGTCAATCATCCCCTGATAGAGATAAGGAGCAGTTATGTAGTTACCAATCTGCTTATGATTGTTTACATTTTCCAACAAATTAAGACAAATAACTGCACAAAGCGGTGAAACCAAATGTCGGAACTGCTGATTTGTGTTTAATTAACGTGTCAAATTTGAATGTGATGAACGGTAATTAATTTACAATTGCAGAAACCAGTGTCCAATTAATTAAAAAGTAAAGGGAAAGGCATAAATCACCGAATTAGAATGATCGACTTGTAGTTAAAGATGTTGGAGTGCTTAGTCTCTGCCTCTGTGACTGTCATCATTCATTCGACAGCCACAATATTTGATATGATTGAATCTATTGATATGCAGGACCATTAAAGGGGCTCCGTATCGCAACATCACACCAAAAGTTCACATAAGACTTCATCTTTTATTTTTGCACAACAGCAGACAGTTTAAGCAGAGGAAAAATGTGTACTGCACTTTGCAAAATGTCAACAAAAAAACAACACAAACTAAACAAACAGAGAGGTAGATTCTGGAAAAAATGTTCTTGATACTTGTTCCTTGATACACATAGTTTATGGCCACTGTGAAAGCCCTGTGAAAACATCAGCCGTCCTCAGTGCAGTCTCAAATCTTTAAGGTCCAGTCAGAGATCAGAACAAAGACTCTGTAGTGATTTAGTCAACTGTTGTGCTTTACCATTTCTCAGCTGTGGCCTGAATTACTATGATGATGCTGTGATTGCACGGATACACTCAAAGCACCCAGGTGTTGAAAAACACTGCTAATTTATTTGTCCTTCTCTCATACTATTTTCACAGCAGAGGCGCTTAAAAGAAGCTGTAAAAGCTGACACGGCCAACAACTTCATGGTAAACGGAACAAAAAAAAAGCACATTAACTTTTATCCACAAAGTTAATTTCCGAGGGTCAGACAAAATAAATCTGAGGGTTCATTTACACTTCATGACTCTCCAACAATTCCCATTTACTTGTAAAATAGATAGGCTTCTAAATTCAAAATTGTAATTAAATAATTTGAGAAGGTATAGAATCAATGTGGTTGAACTGTACATTTATTTTCAGGGGAAACAAGTGAAAAGGGCTGGAAACCATTGCTGTGTGTGTGTGTGTGTGTGTGTGTGTGTGTGTGTGTGCTGGATTATCAATCTGGGCTGAGTAGACGGCTGCTCCAATAGCTCCGGCCGTATTGTGTGTGAACTGGTTTGATGAATTAAAACCCTTTTTTTTCCACCAATATGCTGAATTAAAGCACAACACTGACATGATAAGGGACCTTATGATGGGTTGTGCTTCATCGCCTAGTTTTAAAGGAATAGACATTTTGGGAAATTGTACCTCGTACTGTAATGTAGCTGGAGACAGCAGTCCGTTAGCTCTATTCGAAGATAACAAAGCGCACTAATTAACATGTTGTATCTTTTTTTGTTTAATCCGTACAAAATCTGCGGTGTAAAAACAACAGTTTTACAAGAACATTAACTTAATGGAGTCTCCACTTGTTGCCTAGCAACTCCTTCCAACCAAGATAAGCACATCCCCTGTAAAACAACGAATTGTTGTTTTTATGCTTCGGTTTCTGTATGCATTCAACAAACTATGATATAAAGTGAGCATTAGACGTGCTGTGAGGCACATTTGGTTACCTTTTGGAGATATTCAGGCTAGCTGTTTCTACAGGTTTTCAGTCTTTATGCTAAGCTAGGCTAACTAGGTGCTGGCTCCAGCTAACATATTTACAGAGATAGTAGGGTTATATTCTCCTCTAACTCACGGCTTAATGCTCTGTCTGGAAAAGGATTCCTTGTTTCAAAATCTAGTTTTAAAACCTTCATTATTTCAGTTTTGTGTTTATGTATATGTTACATATTTCTAAATAAATATGTTACCACCAGCAAATCTGTGAACAAGTATTCTATCACAAAAATTATAGAAAAAGTGTACACATCATACAGAGTGAGTGGGAGTAACTTAGTGGGGTTAACCACGGCCCAGGAGGCCATTTTTGCTATGGGGTCTCCAAGCAGATAAATCCGGCCACGTGTATCTTTTGTGGATGTATAAAGAGCTTGATAATGATCACACACCATAAAGCATTACAGCACACATCAGTAGGAATAAAAGAAAGGGGGAGCTCACTAATCAGACCTTGTAGAGACACCCAGTAGGTGGTTGACGGTGTGCACTGCCATGACTGAATTACAACAGGACAATGAGACGAAACAGTAACGATTGGCAGGAATAGACAAAACAGGATTCTTTTTTCTTTCAAAATTCACTCTGATAAACCCTTTGAGATTGTCACGGTGGGTCCAGCGCTTTGGCTTCAGATCTAAAAGGACTTTTTCCACGACTTGCAGAGGATCTTCTGGAAGGCGCGTCTGAAGTCCCGGTTGAAGATGGTGTAGATGGCGGGGTTGAGTGAGCTGTTACAGTAGCCGATCCAGAAGAAGAATTTAAAGAGCGGGTCGGGGATCTTACAGGAGTCTCTGCACACACCGTACAGGCTGTAGCTGAAGAAAAAGGGGAACCAGCACACAACAAACACCCCCATGACCACAGCCAGGACGAATGTAAACCTCTTTTCCCTGGCTTGAGAGGCCTTCTTTCTGGCCAAGGAGCTCCGGCGACGTTTCCTCCTGGAGGTGAAGAGGTCCATTGATTTGTTACTGACTCTGGAGATGCGTGTGGGTTGTTTGGAGAGGGAGCTCTTCTTGTGGCTGGCCCTCTTGGCTGTCTTGGACTCCTCCTGCTGGGGTTTGTGACCTTTGCCCTCCGAGGAGGAGCTCTCCATGTCAGCATCCTCAGTCTGTTGTCCGACGGTGACGGTGCGTTGGCTGGGCGTCGGCGGGCACTGACAGTGACCGTTCTCCCTCTCGCCATGGAAAGGGGAGGTGGCTTTGCTCAGTCCGTTCTCAGTTTGTGTAACACCATCAGGCCTGAGATTTTTCCCCGACATGGTTCTTGTTCTGGTTTTGGCCACTTGGTATATTCTGATATACACCAGCACCATGATTAAGCACGGGGCGAAGAATGACGCGATGCTGGAGGAGAGGATGTACCAAGTGTCATCATTCAGCTCGCACTGAGGCTGAGCACTGATATTAGTGTTGTTGTCTATAGATAGGAGCGGCGGAGATGAGATGAAAGCAGATATAAGCCACACAATTACGATGATGCACTTGACGCGTTTGGGAGTCCGCTTCAGGTTGTACTCTACAGCCTGCGTAACGGACCAGTAGCGGTCCAGGCTTATTGCGCACAGATGGACAATAGACGAAGTGCAGAATAGAACATCCAAAGCCAGATAAATACCGCACCAAACATTACCAAAATACCAGTAGCCCATAAGTTCGTTCGCCAGGGAAAACGGCATCACCAGAGTGGCGACCAGGATGTCCGCGGTGGCCAGGGACACCAGAAAAAGGTTCTGTGGCGCTTTCAGCGCCCTGCTCGTCAACACCGCAATAACCACCAGAATATTCCCAACAACGGTAAAGAGAATGAGAAAACTTACAAGAGCAGCAATGCTGGCTATCGCCCCTAAAGAATATCCACTGTCCAGACTCCAGGAGGAATTCAGATGGATCACCGAGTACGCGTCCATTCCGCTGGCGTTAAACGAATCCATCCCGGCTGTGCGCGCTTTATGTATATCCCAGAGTGGCTCGATATTGGCATAAATTCACATTCAGTCCTCTAATGACCGAGGAGTCCACAAAAAAACGCGCAGCTCTTTAATTTACAAATCTGACGACATGAAGACGCGCGCATGAAAAGATTCCCACTTAGAGGACTCTTTGGAGAAGGTTGTAGCCAGTTGATCATATCTCAAGGTAACTTACTTGAAGAGAAAAAATAAATATTCTCCTCTGCGCCCTGCCATAGCCTTGTCACGCGCCTCCTGATTGTCAGGAGTTGAGTGCCGTCCAGCCTCAGCTCCCCTTCCTTCAGCATGGTGCGCTCTCGCTCCTAATGATGCCCCGTGTGTTGTTCTCATAAAACTCACCCACTGCTGCCCCGCCCCCGCCACACAGCCTTATTTTCATATTGTTGAGATACGATGAGGCCAGGGACACGACTGTATCCTAGCCCAATTATCTCAATTTCCAAATTATTCATACCAACTTTTTATTTTGGGGTTTTAAACCTAAACATTTTCAGATTTTATGGTTCAAAATGTTTTTAGTGTCTCTCCTTTCTTTTCCCCTAGACCTCAGCTCACTGAAGGTCAGTATTGCTGCCCACACAATCACGTTTTTGTAAATTAACACATGCAAGATGTATTTTTTGGGGAGTTGTGTGTGTGTGTTTAAGTATAATTAGTCTTGAAGATGAGAGAGTGAAGGAGTTGCGTTAGAGTGTGACGTGGGTGAGTAGAAGATGAGGCTTGTTGGGATTTTGGAGTTGAGCTCATCAGAAGCAGGCTGCGGGTGTAGAAGATGGATTGGACGTCCGCATTTAAATTGTAGGCTTGTTTGTCAACACATCAAATACACACACGGTCCCATAACTTTATAATAGCACTAACAGAGATGTTATAACACTGACAGCCAGCACCTTATCAACTGGTTACCATAATCCAACCTGATCTCACATAAATGATGCAACTGTGAGTCCAACCCAAACCAGGGCATTGATATATGGGGGCAAATTATTCTGTGCACGTTGGTCAGGTAAAAATATGTTTCTCATTAAAAACGCTTGTTTTTTTCTTCTTCTATAGAACAGTGATAGCCTAGGGGAGGTTTTGATAGTCATCTTTTCCAGCTACCAAACCGAAACATGCCTGTGATGGAAGTCAAGCTACCTTTCTCCACAAGCAATACAATTGAACTTCTCTACAGATTGATGCATTTCACAGAACAGAAATGTCCAAAATGTCATCTATGCTTAAAACGTGTAAAAGCTTGAGGTTAAAGAGCTACAATTTACACAATAAACAGGTACTAGCTGTAGGTAGAAGTGCATGTCCATTAAAGTGTACACATGAATAAGCCCTTTACTCTTCAATGGATGATCTTCCATGATCTCTGCACATCTCAATAAATAGCATTCATCATTTAAAGATATTTCTTTCTTTTCACGAGGCAGGGGTGATGTTGAGAAGAAAATAGAATAAATGCAATCCTTGAGAATCCAACAGAAATGTGCTTCTAAATCAAGTCAACAAATTCAAGGCTTACTTTGACATCTTGTGGTAGCTTCTTTCCTTTTTTCCACACATTATTTTTGTTCATAAAAACAGTGATGTCAATAGAGTCAGAGAAATTTACTAATATCAAAGAAAATGAGAGTTGATTTTGATATGATTGTGCAGCTTTAGTGTCTTCTTCAGCAGATCAGTGTCTCTTGCAGGGGGGAGGTGAGAGTATGAATCACTGTCTTACCTCATCCTGGTAGCTTGTCCGCCGAGTTGATCCAGTGACCTTTCAGTTACAAGGCCTGCCTCTGTCAGCTGGTCTCTTACAGCTCCCATCAGCTTCCATGACACTGCAGCAGCAGACCTTGTTGTCCCAACCCACACCAGAAAAACAAACCTGGCAGCACTTAAGATGTCTTTGGGAGAGGAGAGGAGAGGAGGGGAGAGGAGAGGAGAGGAGAGGAGGGGAGGGGAGAGGAGGGGAGGGGAGGGGAGAGGAGGGTGATAACATTGTGGTGATCTGCACAGTTTAAGATGTGTTGACTGTGCAGGAGGTGCGATGACCATCGCAGACGATTCATCTTTGTTTAAAGAGCGTAATGATGGGAACTGATGCCTCTGCTTTTAACCATAAATACTGCTCTGCTCTTAATGGCCTTGACTGTCTTGACCAAGTGACCATGGCGTCACCACAGTAGGAATCGTCTTCTTTTGTGCTTTTCGTATTTCTTTACAAGCTCAGTCTGTTGTTTCTTGAGTCTTGGGTGTAATTTCCGTTTCCTTATTTGGCTTAACTGGTTTAGATATTTGTTTTTTTTTTTTTAGACAGAAATGTCAGTGAACTGGTGCGGGGCATCAGACTTAATCATGATGCGTCACTGTACACACTATATCTTGGTTTGCTTAAAGGGGAACTCCACTGATTTTCCACATCAAAGTCTGTTTACAGGTCCTACAGCACATGCAAAAAAACATATTTTGTGGCTGCAGAGGGAGATGTGAGAAATAAACACATTGTGTGTATCCTTGAGGACTAACACATGTGTTGAATGCATTTCTTCCTCGTAAAATGTTTTTTTTCTTTACCCCCATGTTAACTTGCTAGCAGTCTCTTTTGCTGGTGCAGCATTGCGTTTCTTGTTACTGCCACCTGTAGATTAGTGTGACCTCATTGGAAGGATTGTGTATTGAGTCACCTGTGTGCCCACAAGCATATGTGCATCTTCATGCATGTGCACAAGATAAACAAAACAATTTGTTTAATAGAAAAAAAAGTGGTCAAAAACTACACTAGATTTAGGGAAGTTAAAGCATCAGCATGCTGGATGCACAGCATGCATGGAGTTGGAACGAAGCCGATAAGGTTGATGGTGGCAGCGGTGCTGAGCAGCCATGTCCAGGAGAGTTGAATGAACAAACGGTCTTTGCACAGCGCTGCTGAGGAGTGAGTGGCGTTATGTTAATTGAGCACAAAAAGCACTTGTGAGGCACGACAAGGAACTGTGAGTGGGGGGGCGGCTGTCTCGAGTGCTCAGCATGAACCCTTTTGTTGCCTGATCATTATGAGCGGCAAGCCTTACAACCTTTATTAGACATTTATTTGCGGGTAATAATTAAGAATTACATATTCAATTTACATATTTGGTGTTCGGGAAAATGTGTTTGACAATGTTAATGCCTCTGCTTCCTCCACATGCTGGAGAGAACCTTTTCACTTCGTCTGGAGCGAGATGCATCCTTCTTCCACGCGTATAGTTAAAATTTGACAAGTCATACAGTGACTTTGGCAGTTTCCCCTTCAAGCAAAGTATTGCCATTAATACAATTACTTGAGTCTTTTGAACACCTAATCACAGTTTGTTCATTTTGGGTCTGCGATTTTTATATTTGAGTCAAAAGTATGATCATTGCACACTCTGTCTCCATTTGCATTTCTCTTGTATTCAGATGGCGTTTCAACCCCTCAGGTCTTCTTCAAGATCAACAATCAAAATTGAAGCCAGAGTGTGCAACATTTTTTTTCCCCCTAGCTGCTTGTACAGTCAGTACCACTGAGTGATATAAGTAGTGTTGAAAATGGACAGCCCATTGATCAGTCACATAAAAAATGTCCCGAGTCGTTTAGGGTTTAATGGCTGTTTTTGTCACTTGTTCCCGACAGTCAAGAGAACAGTACAATCCTATTAGGGTAATTATCTTCACCAGGGGAACGTAACGCTACTGATGATGAGGCTTTGGGCAGCATTTACAAGAATTTTAAAGCCATCTTAACGAAGAGAACTATGAGTTATTATCTTGCCACGAGACGATGAAAATATCATTTTAGACCTTGTGTGGCTCCGTAGAGGTCAGATAAACCATTAGACGGAATGAGTGTGAAAGCCAATAGATAGGAATCTGTTTTAGGACAGAATGGTATGTTTTTTCTCCTTAAAACGATTGTCAATGGGAGGGATATCAAATGTATCGTCTTTATATATTGAGGTTCAAATTCTATTCTTAACCATAACCTTGGAAACGGCTGCCTAACTGTTAAGGACATGTAGGTCACCCTCATCGAATTTGATCAGACTGTTGAATCAGTTCTCTTATCGTTTGTTTTCGCTCTTATAATTCTGCTTCAGTAGAGGAATGCTGCACCTACTTATAGGTCAGAAGGTGCATGTTACTAATCCAGATCCATAGAAGTTTGTTAGCAGGATTGCAGTGAAAACTACTAACCTGATTTTCATGAAACTTTGAAACAAAGGAAGAACCCATCAATTGTTTTTTTTGTTATTATTATTTCTAGTTAGGAGTTGGAATAGGGTCTTATTAACATCTACAGTATGGTAATGATGACAACTGATAATGCCTACTTAATGAACTGACAGCATACCTTGTGGGTGTCTTAAGCCTTGTTAAAACCTGGTTAATACTTTGCACATTGCGATGAGTTAACTAGAAATAAACTGATTAATAAATGTTATTAAGTGCCTGGGGGCCACCGACACTTAAAACCTGATCTATACACATCTTTATTAAAATCAAGTATTGGTTTTCCAATATTATAATACAATAAGGTACTAGGCGTACATCTATAAAGGGTAAAACATATGTATAAAGCTGTAAATGTATTCTGTGTCGACATTTGAAAATGTTTTTGTAGATCACGATCAGTATGCGGACACAGCCGTAATGATGCCGTAAATGTTTATGAAATATGGCCCCCGGCTGCCTTGTGAGAAAATGTACTGTTCAATTAGCTGTTGACCCCCCCCCCCACAGTCATCAGTCACATTAAGTGCAGCACAACTCTTCTTCGTCATATTTCAAATAGCAGCGTGTGATGTAGAAGGCTTCCCCAGTACATATAGAATTCATCTAGTTCTCATATGGTCAGCGATACGGTGTGATATGTGCTATGTGAGGGCCATGTTTCAAAACTTCATATAAATATCTTGTCAGATGTTTTTGCACAGCCGATACAACCAGATCCTCTGATTGAAATATTTGGAATCTAAGGCAAGAATAAATTCAACCAGAACTACAATCATAAACTTTGTAACATGACCAGCTCTTACCTTCATTTTGTATAAATCAGAAAGCCCACAATTCCTCGTCACACTAGGTATGGATAATGGTATCTTCAAAAAACACTAAACGGAGCCTTTAAAAAACACAGTAACAGAATTGGACCTGGAAAAAAAATCTGCAAAAAAAGTTCCAGGCATAAGCTCTTATACAGACATACAACAATCCCTCTGGCAAATAGATTT